CCTGGTCTCCACTAATCAGACCTTGTCTTTGTCCTACTCATAAAGGCCCCAGCTATACGCTACTTTCTCCTCTATGTCAGCTCACTGTTGAAATAGGTCATAGGTTTCTTGTGTCCAACAATCTCACAATTGGCCACATGCCGACGTGCGCCATAGGCTCGGAAAAAAGCATAATTTCTAGGGCTTTGGCATAAAATGCAGATACTTCACTTTGAGTCGCCACCCCACTAGCACTTTTCTATTTCTCCATGCCACGGCAAGGTTTTGGATCTGAGTGGCACACGTCTTTAAGCCTGGCGCAGACAAGAGATGTGTCCCACTTTTTCAGGCATTTCCAAGCTTTGCATGGGAATCCGAGCGCGCATGAAGAATGTTCTTGCCTCAACTTCCAGTTCGGCCACGTCCAAGCCTTAGGACGACAATGTGCGGCAGCCTTACCTTTGGGGCACGGACGGCCTCAGTCATTTTGATTCAACGAACAGAGAGTTGGCACCCTCTATTTTCTCTGTGTTCGATGTGGGGTGGCGTGTTTGATCGTTCTTGTTCTGATTTGCCCGCGTGAATCGCGGCGATCCCATCATTGGTTCAATAGGCTGTTATCGGCGCCATGCCGCTATTGCTTCGTGCCATGTCGGTCTCATTTCTTCTTTGCCCCCAGGCCTCTGCGGGTTTAGCATCGCGGCTACTGATTCAAAAGTCGTCGAGGGCTTAAAAAGACAGGGGCCAAAGAAGTTGCATCGGCATGAAAACTGGCCGCGATTATTGGCATTTGGGTTTAAGACGCTTTTTCTATTCATTCCGGGAGATGGCTTAGTTGCGGGAGATTCCACTGACCTATTGTAAGATAATGTTTCCCACCCATCTCAACAGTATATTATTGCTCGCACAGGCTCACTCCGGGCCTTTAGGCTCGTTTTTCTTTTCTCAAAAAAACTCCTTTTTCTTAATTTTTTTCTTCAAACGTAACTACCTCTCTAAATTACTTTTAATCTTCCCCATTCTTTTTCATCCCCTCCCCCAGGTCTTGTGGCTGGATGGATTTAAATTGAGAGTGGTGGGACTCATTTCTGCCCCGGCATATTCAGGCTTCGCAGCTACTTCCTTCCCGATGGATGTCTAAGTCGATTTTGCCCTTGATGAAGGGATGGTGTAAACAAAACTGGATGTGCAAATCTCCTCTCTGCACGTGACCTCCCCTTCCCGA